AATGATTTATAAACGAGTTCTTGAACCCAGATCATTCGAAGATAAAGAGATCAATGAATTGGTAAAGAAATTACAACCCAATCTTTGCTTTCTTTTTATTGATAGAGCGAGTTATTGCAATATATTCTACAATTTAGTATCTGAATTAGAAAAAAAATAGATAAATTAAAAAATGAGAATATCAAAATCAAAACCGAAAATATGAAGTTAAAGCATGACAAAGAAGAAGTTGAAACCGAGAATATAAAGTTAAAACAGGATTTAGATGAATTTAAAAAAAAATTAGAGTCTAAGAAAAATCATAAATTTCAGGAAAAATGTATCCTAATAGCTCAAGTATTACTTGGAGAAAAGCTGATAATTGAGTATCGTCCTCTCTATTTGAATGGGTTGGAACTTGATGCCTTCTTCCAAAAATACCGAATTGCATTAGAAGTACAAGAGAATCAGCATCGGTTTCATAGCACTAGCTGGTATAAAGATATCAAAAAACTTGAGGATATTGTAAATCGTGATCGGCTAAAAAGATGCATATGTCAAGATAACGGAATTTTTCTCTTTGAAGTATGGTACGATGAAAAGCCAAAAATTGTCATTCTGAAAAGAATACAAAAAATTAAGTTCTTTTTAATTTTGAAATTTCTTCTATTAATTCTTCTTTCTCTTGTGTAGAGAGTTCGATAACATTATTTAACTCTTTTTCAAGAAATCATATTCTCTCTTCCTGTATACCTATAACCCTTTCTAAGGTATATAGACGTTGTTCAAAATTCCTATTTGATTCAGCTAATTGCGATACCACTTCATAGAGTTCTTGGTTGGTTTGTTGTAACTCATCCATTGTTTTTATTACTATAAAAAACAAAGGAATGGAGAAACCGATAATTTATATTGACCCACAGAAGGCCCGTAATTTGAATAGAAAGATTGCTAAAACTGAAAGAATAGAACAGCCTATAATAAATATTAATCCTCAGAGAGCTCACGATTTGGATAGGGAGATTGTCTTGCAGAAATTATATTACCGACCTGAAGGTTATTACCAAAATACTAAAAGATTGCAAGATGCTTGTAGGAAGGCTGGATATAACTTTCCACTTGCTACAATAAAAAAATGGCTTGAGTCTCAGAAAATGCATCAAATTTATCGTTCCTTACCAAAGAATGCACCTTATACTAGTTATTCTAGAATCTCAAAACCTAATTGTGTTCATCAGTGTGATTTAATTGAGATACCTTATGATGAAGATGAGTATATAAATTTATTGAATGAAAATAGTGAAATATTTTATTATGTATTATTAGTTATAGATTGTGCAAGTAGATATAAAGATTTTGTTTTTTTAATATCAAAAAGTAGTGACGAAGTTGCAGAAGCATTTAAGAGTATATATGATAATCCTGATAATCCCTCAACTGGCCTCAAAAACTACAATGTGATAAGGGTACTGAGTTTATGGAATACGTGACTTTATTAATGTATGAACATGGTGTTGAAATTCGAAGAATTATAGCACGTTTCAGACATACAAGCTTGGCTATAGTCGACCGTTATGCTGGATTATTCAAATTAAGAGTTTTTAAAAATCAGTATACGATAGAATTTCTCTTACCTACTGGTGAACGCTGTAGAGAGTGTAAGCGATTTGCACGAAAAATTGTTGATAATATGAATGATACTCCAACCCGATTAATTGGAATGAGCCCTAATAGTGCTATGAAGCTTGAACGGGTGTATTCTAAGCCATCAACAAAGTATTATCATCCAGTAGATGCTGATGAGCCACAGTTACCAAAGGGAACTATAGTTCGATTTTTACTTGCTCCTGGTGAATGAGAAAATGATCCCTTTGAACGACGAAGAATAACAGATCCAGTATAGAGTCCAAGCCTTCATAAAATTTGGAAAATTGTTGTTGGAAAAAATCCACCAATGCCTGTATTATATTATTTAGATGAAACAGGTCCTCAACGTCTTTTTGTAAGAGAAAAATTAATGCATATTAAGGAGAAACCTATACTACCTCCCAGGTGGGTCTTGGAAGATAACCGAATACATTTAAGGCACACTTGATGAAAGTTGGCAAATCAATAACGCAATAAGGGATTGTGATAAGAATTATACTCTCCTTAAAACAGAGTGCTCTCTTTTTCCAATCACGTTGAATTTGTGCATTTAAATTAATTTGTCCTTGTGGATAGAAAAAAGAAACAATTTGAAAATGTTGATTGCTACTGTATTCAAAGGCCAAATGTAATTCCTCATTATACCCATCAAGCTGTAAACTTTTTAAAAATTTGGGTTTTCGAGGTAGAAATTTTTTATATAATAATTCTTCGAATATATATCGACATCTTCACTCAAATATATGGGGACAACTATTACACCATCCATAATTCTGCTTCATATCTTTATAGGATGCTTTCTATTGATGTTGATTTTTGCATGCCCACAAATAAATATCTGCATTAGATCTAGCTTTAGCCAAGTATTCCCCTTCACGTCTTTTGGCATAGGTAAAAGCTTTGGTATCAATCTTGTTATAATCTTGCATTTTTACTTTGCAGTCACAAAGTGGCTATAATATGATCGAAAAAAATAACAATATGTGATATATTTTTTGAGCTAGCAAAAATTCCAAATGCCTCTAGAAAGGTTAGAACAATGGCGAACCAAGATGCTTTTAACTCATTAAGTTTGGACTTTGTCTTATTGCTAAGAGACTTTCGGTAAGAGATCCAGATATAGCATGGTAAAGAAGAAATATCATGTACTTTATCTTTCAATGCCATAATTATCTCTCTTAATGCAGTAGTTTTCCATGTCCCCAGAGGAGAACGAATAAGCATTGTCATTTTCTCAGTACTCAAGAAATTGGGATATGTTTCAGAAGCATCTTTTAATTTTTCTACATTAATAACCATCTCTGATAATTCTACAAGGGAGCATGGATTTGATATAGCATCAGCTATTCTTTTGACTATTCTTCACTTAGGTTTTGCAGAAATTTCGGTTACTTTTCCAAATACTAATCCCTTATGATTGGGTTTGTACTGTTTTTGCTGGTAGCATTTAAGTATGAAGCATCCATTACTTCGAAGAAATCTATATAACTGATCCTTTTCATGTTTGATTTCGCAAATAGGACATGCTTCATATGACTTTGCTTGAAAGTTGACAAATTCCTTCTTAATGCTACCAACTTCAAGCCATCTATATTTTGCGGTAACCAAACTAGCTCCCACGCTTAAGGCGGTTTCATCTTCGATAGGCTGGAATTTCTCCTCTCTCTCTGGCTTCTCAAAAGAAAAGGTTCGAGGCCAGATTTCAGAAGAATCAGATTTAGGTTGAACTAAATAATCCTCTAGCTCGCGGTACCCTTTCTTAACTGAAGAAATAGCAGGTCTTTTAACCCTATCTTCCTTTGCCGACCCAAGAAGACGAAGGCTGAAGCAAGATTTATAAAGATCTATATCAATGAATTTTGAATATGGTTTTCCAACTCTCTCAGCAACTTTTTCCACAAATCCTCTAAGGTCTCTGTAGTCAACAAAACATGCATAATTATATACAATATGCCAACTGCACTTATTAGCATTAGACGAACTATCTAAGGTAAAAGCATTTAAAGTTATGAGATGTTTTAAATCAAAGTATATAATATCAGCACAGGCAATTAAGATTTTGGATAATAAATCTTCATAAGAAATTTTATATCCATCTAAGGAAGGATGTTTGGGATTCATGGGATCAGGTTTTTGTCTCGCGTCGATGTCTAGAACGAGGCGAAGAAGCAAATTCCCGTCAATGCATTCATGAGCATCAGGTAACCTATAAACTTCGGATAGGTGATTTACTACTGTGAATCCCTTACCTGCAACCCGAATAATATATTTATCAAAAATTTCCTCAGAATGATGGGCATCTAGAAGAGCGATATCATCTT